TTTATTATAATATCCAAAAGGTACACACACACACACACACACACATATATATATATATTTATACGCCTAAATGAGTTGTAAATGTTCACACAGAAGCTGAAACATTCACGCACATTTGATGCAAATTAGACTAGGTACCCATTACCTATAAAAAAACGTATCTATTCGATTTTTTGTAGCTAGGTAATAGGTACGGTTTTGAAACGTACCTATCTAATAAAATCAAAGCTTACCAAAACACGCACTTTTATTTCACGTATAATATTATTAGTTCTATAATATGTAAATTTAGTTCAATTTGTTTACATTATAGTACATCGAAGTCGCTATTATTATAATTTTACTAAGTTGAGTTTACCCTCTAAACTCAACTTTTACTCTCTCTCTCTCTCGGGAAACACTCAGATATAGTATAAAAATGCATACGTTTTTTTACACCGTATCTAAAAAAATTAAGGATTTCGGTCCGGCGCGGTGGTATACTTTACTTGAAACATGTTTCCGAAATTCACCAGATACTTTTTGTTAAATTTACTCGGAAAATAAACACACATACGTCTGTCATATCTTTTCCCCGCTACTTTTCCTCCCTTCGGATAAGGATCAGCGTTAACTCGGGAATTGAGAGTTTTTTTGTGCGTGGATTGAAGTGTTAGGAGTTGAAATTCAATATGGATTTTACCATGTTTCAGCGAGTAAAAAGTTTTTTTTTTATTATTTATAAACTTTGTACACCCTTATTATAGACGGCCCGAATAAATACAGGAGGCAAAATTTTGGCGTTAGTATTAACTATGTGCCTATTGGGTGTTTCAACTTTCACTCCAAGCATTAAAATATAAATTATCAAATTTCACTTTTTTTTTTTTTTCGAAACACGAGTAAAATAACTATAACAATAACTGTTGGAGTATAGTATTATTATATTATATTATTCGGTTATTTATTGTTTTTTAAAGAATATGTCTATCATATAAAAAATAGAAGGGAGAAGAGGGAAAAAATGTTACCCTGTAGTGCGGAGCTCTGCTGTTCAGAGTGCTCACGGATGTTTTGTGTTCGATAGAAATACGGTCAACCTACTGAAAAAAAAAATAAAAACTATGAAAAAATAATACGTATTTTTTGAAAATTGATTGACGTACTACGGATGGATATTATTGTCTTTCGTCGTAAATATAAATCACTTTTGACGCAACCCTGACTGTAATAACAATTATATTATGCACTATTATTATCTATACATATTATAATATGTATACCTAGAAGAAAAGCGTACAACTGTGCGGCGAACGATTCGACTGACCGACGAAAACTGGGGAGTTTTTTTTTTATATTACATCCGTACCATCGTACCATCGTACCATCCGAAAATATACGTCACTCTGGGCGCGAGCGCACGCGCTCTCGTTTTTTTTTCTTTATATGTATATACTCGTATACATACAGATATATGTATTCAAATGGTCAACCTCTCCTCTAATGAGACACTCGTTATAATATTATAATACACCGAACGGGTAACTGTCACATTATATAATACGTATATAGGTATTAAATGTATACGTATATATATATAAAAAAAAAAAAAAAAACAAAAACAAAAACATTTTGAAAAAAGAAGCCGTTATTATCCGGGACCAGATGCTCCCATTGTCGGAATGATGACCACCGTCGTATGACCCATACGTGTAATATACTCGCGCATATAGGTACCTGCCTGCCTATTGAATATTGACTGTCTGCCGCCATTCGCTTATTAAGTTTCATATTATAATATTTAAATATAGTACTTCTGCGCCGCGCAGTAGGTGTATTTAACCGTGCTACGAAACAATATAATGTCGTTATGTATACACGTCTTGTAATTTTCCTATGCTTACGTGCGCGGCGATCGAATCGTCCCTTCCAGGTGCGTACTACCTCTATAATATACCTATGTATATCTAACCTAAATAATATGTTGATTTTAGAACGGACAATCGGTTCAAAAAGAATAAAAAAAAAAAAAAAGAAAAAGAAACACGATAATAATATAATAGTAAACAAATAATAATAAGAGTTGGTTCTTCGGTAATACGATATTGACAGCGGCCGGCCAACGCGCGGCAGAGGCGGGTGACGTTGTAATCCATTATTTATGATTTTTTTAATTTCTACTTCCCCCCCCCCCCGGTTAAGACAAAAGATTAACGCGGTAACATGTGAAACCTGTTCACCGTTCGCGTTAATATATATATATATATATATATATTTAATATGAATTACCGCTGCAGTTTGGTGAAAACCGTTAAGTCGGTTCTCATAGATACCTAAGGTAAGTATGTATAGGTGATATCAGTGGTGTAAACATGAAAATTCGACTTTGACGAGAAAAATTTCAAGGGTCTCCTCACCTTTTCCTATTCAGTTTAATTGCGGTATATATTATGTGTTTAGGACGGTATTCTCTATGTATTTTTATTGTATTCAGGAGCGGTCAAATAGGGAAGGATGAATACCCCCCCCCCCTCCCATATAGCCTCATTTTTCTTAAATATTTATAATAATGTATATAGTAATTTTTTGAGCATGCTCACCCCATTTCTATAGTTAAATTATGCATAAATTCAATATCTAATTTTTGGAATTTTTATGTATAGTGAAAAAAACCATACATTGTCCAATAATACGATTTTTCACAATAGGAGTATCCTATGTAACGGTAACAACATAGGTATTTTGAATCCGATGTTTTGATACAAATTTTTAATCTTGTTGTAATCGAAATATGAAAAGAAAATTGCTTTAGTTATTCTACTTTAAAAGGATAAGTTGCTAATAACTGCACGTTTCAAAACAGGAAATTGCGTATACAAGATTCTTATAAAGCGGATGGTATTTAAATGATGAAGCTCTAAAAAGGCTAATCATACAATCATTAAGTAGAATAATTCAAAAACTTTGCATTCATATTTCGATTAAAATACGTCAAAATGTTAGGAAAAGTCATTTGATTGACAATTTGTACCAAAACATGTAGGTTTTCGTTTTAAAAACCAAAGTTTTTATCACCACAGAATACTCATTAAATGTTGTGGAAAATCTAAGTATGTGAAAATATCGTCATTCACTGCAAGTAAAAATTCTAAAAATGGTAAAATTAATTTATGCATAATTTAACCATACAAATGAGGTTAACATGTTTAAAAGTCACCTTGCATATTACATTATATTATTATAGTTAAAAAAAAATTATATCCTCCTCACGATAAAATCATTTGACCGTCAATGATTGTATTAAAAATAAGTGGTCTAGTCAAGTAGGTATACACATACACACACAAATATATTTACCAAGGAAAGTTGAAGTTTCATTCATCGAGCTTTTTAATCAGTGAATCGATCAATAATAAGCTGCGAAATGTTCCCACGATGTTCGTTTCTTCCATTTTTACGCACCTACAATAACGCGGTATCTGACTGTCGTATAAAAATTAAAAAAAAATTTAAAAGATTTGAATTTTTAAAATCTAAAAATTGTTATTAAATTAACTAAGTGTATAAAAAAAAATTGGTATTGCTCAATTATTAAAAAAGAAACTATAAGGAAAATCGAAAAACGAATTTATTACTCACCAATTACATTAAAAGTTCAATAAAAAAGATTGTTTGTTGTTTTTCTATTGGAGCAATATTTCTTGCAGAAAACATAGGACGTAAAAATTTAAAATAAAGGAACCTTACGCCTTAAATTTATCAGTTTTCATTTTATTGTTTTGTTGGTTTTTCCAACTGTTATGAAAACTACATAGAAAATTAAAATACGACTTTAACCGTGAGCAATCACATTCAAAATACAATAAAAAAAGTAATTTGGAATTTTTTGATTAAAGCAATATTTCAGGTAGAAAACATAGTTTGTGAAAATTAAAAACAATGACATCAGTAACGCCGTGGCGTGCCGTAAATATTTGCCGTTTTATCGATCATTTTTTTGCCGGTTATCCCAATTATTATATAAACCCCTTAGGAAATCAAAAAATTACTTTCTCAAACTACCAACTAAGTAAAATTTGCTTTCAGAAAAGACGCTATACTTGATATATGAGCAAGATTTCTGGTACAGAAAAGTTGCTGATAGACACAAAAAAAAAATAATAAAATTATAAAATAGTGAAACTCATCATACAAAAACCAATAGATTCCTCGCTACGTTTCGAACCTAATAATGTAAAGCGGAAACGAATTCCCTTAAAAATTATATTTTTTAATAGAATGTTCACTATGGTTGCATTCTTCTTTTCTAGCATCAAACTGACCAACATAATTCCCACCATTCATCCCTATCTCTTGCCGTATACTGCATCTGGATCCAAAAGCATTACGTCGAACATCACATCATTTGGTCTTCCCACCTCAGCCTGGGACGTTATAATGGTCTATTATTTGTTAGGATATTATATAGTACCAATTCATTCGATGTACTAAGGTAACGGTAGAGTTCCTTAATTTCCTTGTTGTTTCGGATTCTTCACTCTCTGGTGTTAGTGCCCAAGCATGAGCCGTATATTTTTCTTAAGATTTTTCTTTCAATTACTAGTGATTTATTTATCTGTATTTTGTGTAACGTCCAAGTGTCGCTTCCATACATCATTATAGAACGTAAATTTAGATTTTTCGATAACATTTTTGGCTTGAGTACTATGGTTATATTATTATGACAACTAAAGACAACAAAAATCCACAATAGTATTTTATATCATACGATTAAAAAATATTTTGTTGGCTAAATCTAATGAGTGTCGCTAACAATTTTTATTATTTTTATTATTATTTTTTTTTTTTTGCTGCTTTACGCGCGATATAAACTTTATTCGTTTTTTTTTTTTTGTCCGAGAAAATCAAAACACCTATAAAAATGTTTTTATGAGGTATAGAATAATTTTTTTTAATAATAAATAAAAACGCGTTGTTACGGTGGCGTTTAGTGTATGAATAATATAATAGCGTGCGGCGTTATGAAAAAGGAAAAGAAAATCGAGACACCCGATAACCCCAATGGTCCGAAGCCGTCGCCTACTAAACGGCGTTTGAAAACAACGAAACGCACAGACGTAGCATGCAAAAAAAATGATATTTCAACGGCAGACGTTCCGTCTTTTAGCCCGAAACCGGTCAAAGAACCGCGACGCACAGATCTGTGTCCGGGCCGCCGTCGCCGCTATAACCATAATAATTTGCCATCGTCAAACGAGGTAAAAGACGACGGTAAATCGGAAGCGGCTGTTCGAAAATTGGAAAACGAAGAGGACGAAACATTGTGTTCCATAAAACAATTTGAAAGCTCGCAGGAGGAAATGATATCGGGTGACGCGAACTCGGACAACCGTTGGGATAATCAAACGACAGCCGCGGCGGCGCGGGCACTCGACGATAGAGGCGACTTTTCACGCGGAAGCCGTGACGGGTTTACCCCGTCGTCCACGTCGTCACCCGAAAATCTCACGGCAGGCACGGTCAAACCCGCCAAGGGAAAAATGTCGAAACGAACACGGAAAACCGCGGCCGAGAAAAAATCGAAAATTCCCGATACGCCGTCACGACCGCAACAGCAACCGACGTCGCGGTCCCACGACGACGTGAACAGATACATGCATCTTTTGGTTTACTTGAACAGGCGGCAAAGGGAGAAACAGGTCAAAACCGTGTACTCGACCGAAAATCTCAAACCGGCGAAAAAGAATACGCAAAACGTGGCCTCGAGCTTGACAGCGTTCATCAACCGGAAACTGAAGACCAACGAAATCGTGCGGACCAACCGGGTGATCATCCAGAAAATATTGAACGCCAAGACGACCATACCGAGGACTAAGAAATAATCGAACGGCAGAGTGTATAGCTTGCCCCGATAGTTTTTATTCATTTTTATTCGCGTCCATACGTAAATATACAGTAACTTTTAATCGTAAGACACGTTATCCGATAATAATTATTAATTATTTCAGCAAACGAAAAACTTCTATAATAGTAGCGATATCCCGAAACGATACGACGAGCGTTTTCCATCCGACCACTGCGCTCTTGTGCACTCAGCAGCGCGGCAAAGGGAGTAATCGAAAGTCTCTGACTTTGTTTTAATGGCTCTACTTATATTATAACAGTTTTTATAAGAAAGCGATATTGAATTAATACCGGTCCAATTAGAATACCTCTGCTTACACTGTTATAATTATAGTGTGCAGAAAATTAAAAAAAAGAAAAATTCGAAGACCTCGGATCAATAAACTGTAGACTACGACCAGATTTTAAATTGTTCAGGAGCGTGTTCTATGCCTAAGCTCAGTTGTAATATATAATGTACGATATAAAAATACGATAAATATATATATCGTATTGGATTTATCATGAATGTCGCACAAAAATTCGAAAAAAGACAAGATTACTCAGATTCCCGGTGAAAACTTAACTGATTGTTGAACCCTAATATATTTGTTCACTATAGGTTCACTTATATCTTATATATTATCTAATTTCCACGCCAACGCATTTAATTATTAAAAAACAATTTTTCAGCGTACTGTCTATACCGAAAACGAAAACTAAGAAATTCACAGTTTTCTTCAAAAGCTGTTGCTTTTGAAGACATTACTTTAAAATTACTTATTTGAAGAGCTACGGGAAAAAACGATAATAGTAAAAATAAAAAAAAATTACGAACATGCTTCACACGTGGCTGCAGCCACTGTTTTAGGTAGGAAGTTGGGAAGGTAGGGTACAAAATTTAATGTACATCTGTAAGTAACGTTAAACCATTGCTAACGAAAAAACGAATCTGAGACGAGTTCAGTTTATAATGTTGCTTTATCAACAATTTTATAGTAAAATGATTGAATGATTGATAAATTATGTGTGTTTCTGTGACAACGATGATTGTTTAAAAAGATTAAAATATTAAAAACTTAATGATAACAAAAAATAAATAAAAAAGTTTGCCAATGACTTCCTTATTTTTAATATTTTTTTAATCTAAAGAGAGCGAGATTTTTCTCATATCTCGAATATTAATGAGAATTTCAAAAAATAATCTTTTTAAAGTACCACCCAGAGGATATTTCCTCTCAGAAAAGGTGTTATTCTTGATAATCGGAGTATGCTTTCTAGTAGAAAAAGAGTTCACGTAAAAGAAAAAATAAACACCATTGTCGAACCATTACATTCCTCGTTCCACTTGGAATCTAAAATAAAAAATTAGAATAATTATAATATTATCATTTTGCCATTTGTTTAACCGAATTGATATATGAATCGAGTTGAGGCATGGAGATCACAGTCGGTGATATAACAAAGGTTTAAATACGCAGTTTAATAAGGTTTTAATATAGTTCTGAAATTTTAAAACTATAATACTGAACATTTTAGAAATATTGACTATTATCGTTCCTATTACCGTAGCCCTTCATTTGTTTAACTATTAGAATAAGCCACAGGATTACCGAGGCGGCTAGTGACCGATTCCCCCCGGGTTTCTCGACAAAACGCCTTGGGATTTTCACTGTTCCAGAAATGTGTCGTTTTCCGCGATGGCAAAGTCCGAATAAAAATATATTACGAGTAAGCGACGACGTCTGTGGTGCGTGCGGTTTCACGAATTGACTTCCGTGCGCCGCAAAAAGGCTCTGTAGTCGGGACCGGTCGCTCTTGAAATAGTATTTTCAGTGTTCGACGTTGCGAGCGCGTCTGCGCGATTACGCGCTGTTCTCGCCGACCGAGGTACGCGAATCCGACGCGAGAAAATGTCCGAAAAGACCCTGCTCTCGGACTGCCGCACTCCTTCCACCAACCCCGCAACCCGCCTTCCGCCCGGGACCGGATGTTATTCTATCGCGATCGTCGCGGGCGCCGTTGCGTAATGGCGTGCGCCGCCGCTGCCATGGACGGTCGCGGTCGGAAGAGAGTAACCGGTAACCGCGCGCCGCAGTCCGCGGCGGTCGCCCCGTCGCGGTCGTCGCCGGCGACCGCACCGCGGGGTCGTTTCACACGCGGAAAACCCGTCGCCATGGATACGCGCGGCGTTTGAGCGGCGCGCACACCGTGGCGGACAACGATAATGACAATGGTAGGCAGAGCAGCGGTGGCGGGTAGCACACAATGCGATGCGGACCGCTCGCGCCCACGCACGGCACCGCCGCCGCCGCCGCCGTCTCGGTCGCGTTCGCATGTGTTTTCCCGCACGGCTGCCCCCGAAGGCCACTGGTCTCATTACGGCATTACAGCCGCGCGTCCTTTTGAATTGTACACGTATGCGCTGTAATAATAATCGTATTATTATAATAGCGGGCGTCCGGACGAGGCGCGCGCACGCGGTTCACGGGTTTATTTTCGCCCCACGCACTGCCCGCCGTCGTCGTTTTCCTATTTCCGCGTAACCGGCACGCCCCCCTCCCCGCAAGCACGCGACCGCGTTCGGCCCGTTGGAGCGCGGCGCGGAAATAATTCTAATAAAAGTCCGCGCAGCGGCGGGTCCCGGACGCTTGCAACGCAATATTAACCATTCCGTGTGCGAGACCGCGGTCGGCCTTTCCGATTGGCCGATTTCGAATGGCGCGCTTCAAATTGTTTTACGGTAAAAAGTAAAACGTACATACCTACGCACCATCGCGGCTGGTGGCGTGCGTAAAACGAATTCAACGAACGTTCGCACGACACGAAGGTATTATACAAAAGCGATGAGTATTTTCAGTTTAGCGCCTCTCTGTACAAAATATTACACACCTACCAACCTACGGCGTGCGCAATTTCCGAACGAATCTAAATATTTGCATGTAACGCGATAACAATGAAAATCGATTTGAAATACGCGCGATGCGATCGTACGATGTTGGGGGTGAGCCGATACCAGGGACGGGTGCAGCCACTGTTGTAGGTGGAAAGTTGGAAAGGTAGAATACATAAGGTCGTTTCATTTATCTCTCTGTAAGCAACGATAAACTATAGCTGACGAAAGACGATTCCGAGCCGAGCGCAGTTAGGTAGTACACAATTTGAAGTGCCGTCATTTTTTTTTTTTTTTGCGATTTTCGTTTAAATTTGATTTCGAAACGCTTATTAAAAAAAAAATTCAACAAAAATATGATCTCTAGTCGTTTTTCAATCGGGGCCATATTTGTGTTAGAAAACGTGGTAGGTACTTATTTAAAATAACAAAATCGCGAAAAAATCTTATTTTTTTCCCGAATAATCATTTGTATTTTAAATACCGTTTCGAATATCAAAAATATGTCCTATATATTTACCAAGTAGGTAAAATTTATTTTCAGTAAAGGTGCTACACTTATACATCGGAGCGAGTTTTCGAGGATATAAAAGTGGTTTACAGTAAAAAATAATTAAAAAATAACAATGGTACACCATTGTAAAAAAATTAAAAAAAGGAAAAAAAATCGTCCGATTATTTTGGAAATTTTACCACGTCTAGATAAGTCCAATATAATTATTATTACCAAGTTTTAAGTCTCTACGTGTATTTATAACCTAATTACAATAAAAAAAACTCCCAAAAATTAAAATTCCTTAAAAGCTCAAAAACGGCTCAAAAGTTGTTGCTATGTAAATCAAAAAGGCAACAAAAAAGGTACAAATCAAGGTAGATCACAAGGTACCTTGTGATTTTTCGCAGTTTTCGATTAAATCATTTTTTTACTGATAGAAAACATTGTCCGTGTTTTTATAAAATTAAGAAATCGTGAAATTGTACGTTTTCCTACGTTTTTTCCCACTTAGGTGCTTTTATTTGGAAAAATAGCGTATTTTAAATTACCATCCAGATAACTTGAGATTCCAGAAAAGTTGCTATACATAAAAATCGGAGCAAGTTCACTTGAAAAAAAACGTATCCACAGACTAGAACAAAGAAAAAAAAGAAATAAACATCTCAGTAAAACCAAAAGCTCTCTCGCTACTCTCGGAATCTAAAATCGGGTTTTTAAACAACATTTCGGTAATATTGAAGTGACATCGTGATTTGAAGTTTGATCATTGACATCAGGTCACTTAAATCGTTTAAATTTAAATTTTAAAAGCCGGAGGATCTCGGATAAATTATTTGGGTTCGATTTCTGGTCGACCCATCTGATTTTTAGGGATGCAACTATTATAGTTTGTGGACGTTTTAAAACCATCTCGTTTAAAACTCCCGGAACTCGGCGCAGAAAATATTACAGAATTGACCACACAATTAATTTGCTCACTAATATAGATTAGTGTGTATACCCGCGCATTAGCTGAATTTAGCTGAGTCCTTTCGAAATCAAAAATCGACGGAACAAATTCCATTGAACGTGTCTTACCGTTCCCATCTTTATCACTATTCAAGTTAATCGTTATTTCACTGTAGTTAATGTTTTGAAAATGGTACTTAATTCCTTGTCTGTGATAACCAAATCAAATTTATAATAACTGTTTCTTTTCACTTGTGTCGCCAAGGTAACCCATAAATCAACAAAAAAAATTAAAAATTCAATTTTCATTCCAAAAACACGAAAACTCTGTTTCAACTGCCTTTTATGGGTTAAATTTCCATGTAAAAATTTATATTCCTTTTGGTTAAATGTAAAGTTGCATTAAGATCAGATTAAAACCGTAGATTTGTATGTAGTGGTCAAAAAAATATCGATCTTATATATAATATATGTGCTGAGAACAAAATATAAGGATTTACCTACGATTATATATTGAAAATACGAGAAAATATTCACAGACAGTCCTAAGTCTGTATAAATCGAAAGATAATCGGCATGTGAGTATAATCTGTTCGCAAACGAGTAGCTGTACGGGAAATAATCCGTGTGCAAACGAATTGTAAAAATGTACGTAAAATAGG